ACAGAAACTTATCAGGACTGTGTCAAGTACTTCTTGATACTTTGTTTAGAGTAAAAGTGTTTTGGGCTTTACGTGTGGTAGTCCATTTCATAGCATTGATCCAGAAAAAACATATAATTTCTCTCAAACAGCTCAGTTATTGGCTAAGGAACTATCAGATTACCTTGAGTAACATCTCTCAAAGAGTAGGGATTATTATCTGATTTCAGTTTAAACTTTTGAACTAGGTACATTGACCAGTGCTTCCATACGCACACATTTATATAGAAGTAAATATTTGTGGTATTTAAATATATTTTTACTTGTCATCGATCCAAGTTCTTTAAATAAGGGGGCTGAAGGGGATAAAATATGTATTTTAAGTATTGGTGTATATGCATATATATAGTCAGATGAGAACTCAGAAACTTGTTCATCGTTGCATCACCTCTTATTTTATCAATATGAATTGATGCGACATAATGTACAAATGTAGCAAGGTAAACCAGTATAAAGGCAAAATTACTATTTGATAGGGTATTGGATCGGATCTTGAATACCCTGACTGGAACTTTTCCGTATTTTATATCTTCTCCTGTCCGTTACGTGTCCCCAATTCTATAATTCATACTAGCCAATAGAATCTTTCCCACATCATAAGGCAACCAATGATAACCGATATTTGTTATGCAATAATTTCAAGATGGCGTGAATAACGTATGAAACTAATAGCTTCATACCGTGATGTTAAGCAATAAGAGAATAGAAGAAAGAATGAACTCTTGAAATGCATATAATAAAACTACTAATTGTTATTAATTATTCTGTAAGAAAATAAATATTAATGTAAAACACTCTACCACATGAATAAGATTATATTTGGAAAAATATGTTTCAAGATATTATTTATATCATACCTGATTTTAAAGCAATAAGCGTTGAAAATAAAATCAAAATAGCATTTACATGTGAAGAGTTTGATGTATAAATTTGACAGTCTTATAAGTGAAATATATGATAATCCATGTTTAACAATATATCGATAAAACGATATATTCTGTATCGCATGCTTTTTAAGTTTTTGCTTGTTGAGTGCTTGTGTTTATACATGAAGAAGTTTTATATGGTCGGTTGTAAGAACATTTTAGAGCTGATACTTGCTATCTTTTGCATACTTACTTACTTACCCAACCTGAAAAAGGTAAAACAGATTTCGGGGATTTTTCATAATTCAGAACGTTCGGGGTTTTAACCAAGTACGAGCTTTCTTAAAACATTAGCAATATATGTTCATCTTACTTTACCATTCCTTTTTATATGAAATAAAATTTGTCTGAATTCAGAATGAGTTATATATATATACAATATAAAATCTAGAATGTCAGGCGCTGCTGCATTTGCAGATTAAAGGGTTAATTGCATGTTTATGTTATATGAAACACCTTCCTTTGTACTGTCATATGCAATATAGGACACCTCCCTTTGTACTGTCATATGCAATATAGGATATATGACACATTCTACAGTCTTTATTACAGAGCCAGAGTTATAAAAAGAATTACCAACGTAAATCAATTTTAGGAAGGGATAAATCATACTTAAGGGGACGACCATTCTTGGCGGAATTTTTTCACAACACATGCATCATTGAGACATAATGAAATTTTTTTCAGAAAATGCTGCAAGAAATTTATTTTTCGTGCACAACTTTGAAGCTCAGGATATTTATTTTCAAGCCGCCTTTGGAAAGATTTCATGCGATGTACAGTTATTCCCTCCATCGTAGAATATAAAAAGTCGTTCCTGTTTAATAATTACTGAGCGCTTATGTAAAAGTACCATTTTATGATACTTCTTACTGTAAAAACTAGCAAAAAGAGTTCATTTCGCAAAACTGGTACCATCTATTTTAAAATTTGGTTGAAAACAAGTTTCATAGTCTACAAAAAGGAAAACTATCCTCAAATAAATCCTTTCTGGGAAATCACAGGGATCTGGATTCAAAACTGTAGGAGGAACTTTTTCAAAAACAACAAACTGAGGTAGTTTAAGACAGGAATTTGTTAAGTTTGTGTAGTATAGAGCTTTAATGACGGCACACAGCATCCTCAACAATTTGTGAAATAACTTTCAGAAATGTGTTAACAAATGAATAAATAGACGCAATTATAAATTAAGGTAATTAGACAACCAGGAACACGAACGGCATTCAAAATATTCAACAATTTGTATTTATATTGTTTATAACAAGTCATCGATTTTTGCCTTGCAGTTTTGCAAGGGTTCCTTTATGTGAAGAAAGCGTGGCATGGGCCATCGGGTTTAACATCTCCATCCCGATTTGACGTTGCTGTGTACGTATGGTACCATATACATGTACTTATACATCCCGCATATCCAAATGGATGCTCCTCTCATCACAGGTCTATCTGCTAGACGGTGACCATATTTATATACTTGTGTTTTATTTATTTGTAATGTTTGTTTATTTGTAAACTGTCATTTCGGAAGCATCAATGAAGCTTGCATGATTCTTGGCAAAATTAAGAGTCAATTCTCCGGGAATCGAAATGAGCTAAACAAGGGAGAAAGAAAATAATAGCTTCACTTGTACGAATAATACATCATCCTTACACACATATGTATCAACCTTCAGATTTCAATAATTATGACTAATATAATTAAACAGGAAAACCACGCTTTTGTTAGCATATATTTTCAGGAAATGCCCACCTAATTAGTTTTTTAATTACACATTTTGTTAATGAAAAAAATTAAAACAAACTGATGTGGTCGTGGGCTGGTTTTATCTGGAAATAAGGTCAGTAGAACTTTCTGAATTTTAACCTTATACTGTGAAAAAATAAAATTCCATAAAGGTTTGACAAAGTTATTGATGACTGAAAAACTTTAACCTCAGACTGAATTTGAATGTTAAATGAAAAAACTAATTCCATTTATCAGTGAAATACGAAAATAGTTTCAACATTTTGCTCTGGATACTGTATTTTGGTCACAAACAAGCTTCTGTCTAAATTTCATAAAATTCCATGAAGGTTTGACAAAGTTATTGATGTCTAAAAACTTTAACCACAGTCTGAACCTAAATGTTGACGGAATCTAGGATCTCTGTCTGACTTTCGCGACATAAATGTCGCAGACTCGACAAAAACAAAATAATGACGTGCGGCAGTATAGTTATGCTCATTAGGGACACCAGGGAGTCAATTTTAGATAGTAAATGTGTGTGGAAAATTATTCAATTTACGGTAAGATGAATTTCCTTTGAAAGGAAATATTCGGAAAGACGTATTTTTCTTCAGGGTTAAAAAGGATATTTGAAAGAAATTGTAGACTATAGGTTTGTCCTTTCTCGATAGTGTTTTCAGTATATAGTGCATTTCTAATAGAGTCTTAGTCTGCATTCTACAAAAAGTAAGATTAAAAGCCTTTTCAAAACTAACATTTCCAAAATGTTTAAGATTTCTCCATTTGCATGTGTGACCACACAATTCAGCCAGTTTAATTTTTTATGTATCAGAGATAAGGGGAACAGTCTAATAAACCTCGATATACTATTATTTCTTTCACAAGCTATGTTATAAATCTATATTCTAAAAAAATCCATGTTAAAATTTGTAATATTAAGATAATAATTATATTGATTAAGCATAAAAAAGTTAGAACGTTCGTATAATTTAATCGAATTTAAACTATGAATCTTATCTAAATCTCCTAATCATTAAACAAAGACAAGTTCGTCATCATGAATGGATTTAACTAACGCATTAAAGCTTCTGATCGCATTTGTAAACTTTGCAGGAATCAAGAGGAAGATAATGGTCACATCAATCTAAAATGTACAAACTAAAAAACAGAAAATCTTATATAAGGGTGTGGATGGGGGTTTACAGAATAGAGAATAATGGGCAAAAAATATAAGGAATAGAGAAAAATGGACTAAAAAATAAAGAATAGAGAATAATGAGGTGCTAAAATATAAAGAAAATAGATAAATGGGAAAAGTATAAAGAATAGAGAAAACTGGCCTAAACAATTAAAGAATACAGAAATGAGGACCCCATCCAAACCCTCTTATATTGAAGGTATTTTTTAACAAATGTATATTTTTAAAATGTAATCAAGAAAACATGATCGGGTGGTCCATACAGTAGCTGTGATGGTGCAGACGTTCTTAAAGCCTTATGTAGTTTAAACACATGGACTATGGACAGAAAGTGACTCTAATATATGAACCACATATGATTCCAAAAATATATATTTAAAATGATAGTTAATTTTGAATATGAAGTTGAAAAATGAGGATACGGGAGATAAACATAATATAACATCAGAACAACAATTTACTGCAGTTGTGTATCCTAATAGTTTCTGTGATGTCTTCGACAATGAAAACTAATCGCACCTTTTAGCAAGGTCTATATGGTCCCTATTTCTTTCTTTCTTTTAATTTACTTATTAAAGGTACATTTCCAAAAGTTTATGTAGTCGCGTGACCTGTTTGCTATAAAAAAAAGTATAAACAAAAGCACCGAACTCCAATGTAAATTCAAAAAGGGGAAATATAACAATGTACTCTTTCGACACATTCATCGGTGTTATGGGGAAGTATTCTATAAAGGTTAGGTTTATACATTCGTATGATTGTAGTAACACATAGTTGAAACGACTTTTCCAAAAGTTGTAAATCTAAAAGCGTTCCAAGAAATAAAGAAATTTCATACCTATAGATTACATAATTTTTTTAAGAACTTCTTTTTGTGCTAATCATATTGCATACATTTATTACGCATTTTTAGTTTTAAAGTTTCCCCTTTTAGTTTTAATCTCCAGTTTTCTAATTCTTAGTCATACATAAGTTTTGATTTCCGTTAACCGCTCCTACACAAGAAGAGGTACTTGTCACATCAGATACAAACTTTACATCGTATATGTATCCGGTGTCTCCAGTATATATCAAGTAAACAAATATAAACACTTATTTTAATTTGATTTTCATAACGGAAATTATCAAAATTTTAGGTAAGCAAGTTTATTCATTTGTATAAAAAAGAATTAATAGGAAGAATAGAGAATTGCATTTGAAATGGCTGAAAATAGTTGAACGTAGTTGATAATTGCAAAATTGTAGACATATGAACAAAAATATCTATAAAAAAAACTGCATCTCCTGATTTAGCAATCTTGTTGTTATTTCTGTTTTTCGACAAGTAAAAATTTGGGGTTGAAGTTACAAAAATATCATGTTTTTAATACATAAATACGGATTTTGCACACTAACGGCTGGCAGGCACGTAGAAAAAACGCATATGCACACGAATAAAGCTCTTCAATTTTTAAGGATTATCAATCTATAATTCAAGAAATTTACACAAAATATATCTATAACGTCATAATAACTGGCTTCTTCGCCTCTATAAAATGCGTTTAAATGTGTATATATTATACAATTATAGCCTTTGTATGAGGTCGATACAAGGATATATTGACCTGAAAGAAGTATATTGACTGAGGACGAAGTCCGAGGTCGATATACTTCTTTGGGTCGATGTATCCTGTATTGACCTCATACAAAGGCTGTAATTGTTATATTATTAATTTCAGACCTTATTTGTATCAAAATCGTCAGTGTAATATATTCGATCAGTTGATTTTGTTTGAATTTCATATATATCATTTTGTCTCCTAGACAATAACAACATATTAGTTGTTATTTCATTTATCTTTTATGGTTTTTTTTTGTACATCTTATGAATTTTAAAATTTTTTTCTTCAAATAATCGATTATAAATATATTTTTTTTTAAAACTTTTAACAATATCATGAAATTAATTACATGACGTCACAAAGTATATCGGTTTATAGATATTCTAAAAATAACCGTGCAATATGCTTTTTGCTATCCGCCGTTTTCTATCTACCTTCGAAAATATAGTTTGACATGTGACTATCCCTGAACGAATCAAATTAGTTAAAATATACGAATTGATAATATATATATATAATATAAGTGCATATAAATAGCAACACATAACATACAAATCTATTTGAGTGTGGATTAATTAGTACACAGATTAATACAATTACACAAATGAAATTATAAATTGTCTAACAATGTAATTTTAACACAATATTTATTATGTAAATATTAAAATGTAAAAGATATTTACAATGCAATAAAAAATAAACGCAATATTTCGCTAGACAAACTAGCTTCATCGAGCGTGCATCTATCCAGGTGAAATCGGATGCAGATAAGAAACTTTTGCAGCTATAAATGATTAATTATTTTTTCCTGTTTATTTTCTCGTCTTTTTCATCAAATGTCATATCAAGTTGAAATTCAACATAGGTGTAATCTTGGAAATGGAACATTGGTCGCCTGGACTTGTTCTCCCTTTATCCAGACCGATTTTTTTTGGTAAACATTTCAACAACATTTGCAAAAGTTAAAAAAAGCATAGAAATAATGTTGATTTATTAATTATTTATATGCATAACAAATATCAAAATAAATAGCCTTGTTGTGCTAATGCGGCGTAAAGCAACCAACAATCAATTAATCAATCAATATCAAAATAACACTCCAAACCGTATTCAGAGTGTTTTCGTTTCATTCTACCTCTATATAATTACGTTTACAGTTTATACATTATATATTTTACATAAAGACATCTTTTTTTTTGCTAGCAAACTAGAAAAATAAAAATAATTGACACCAAAAACGCGGACATCTGTTAAAGGTTTGATATATTTTCTATCGGAATGCATACAATCGGAAGAATCTAGCTATTAGTATACTTGTCTTGACGTTGTACAGAAATATTCGTCAATTAATGCTACATCTTCAGTGAACTGAACTTTTCAACCATTGACTTAACCTTTGTATATATGTTATTCCGGAGTCTTATCAACATTTTATTAAATGAATGTTATTAAGTACAATAGATCAATGAGCTAAGGAAGTAATACATACTTTAAATACTTGTGACTAAAGTGTCACATGAAAATCACTTAATACTGACAATTAATAGTAAATAGCTTAAAAAGGAGACTAGTCTCAAACCTTTGCCTCATCATTTCATCAGTGGCGGATCTAGGGGGGGGGGGGGGGTTCCGGGGATTGGAACCCCCCTTTTTTTTACGACCAATGCATTTGAATGGGGACATATAGTTGGACCCCCCCCCCCCCCCTTTATCCTGGGTTAGGAAACCCCCCCCCTTTTATAAATGGCTGGATCCGCCCCTGTTTCATTATGTGCACGTTCGTTCCAATTATCATTTCGTCCTAACCATAAACAGATATCTTGCGTTTATATTTTCCATGAAGTCTTACAACACGTTATGTCACATAGTTAAGATATAACCTCACATTTGTTAAGTTGTGTCCTTATTAATTTGTGTAATTATATTGGACACTTTAATCCTTATAAACGAAAGCTAGGCATTTTTTTATAAGCTCACCTGGCCTAGTCGATAGCGACTCCTTATAAGAGCTATTGTCCTTGAATGACAATTTTACCTATTTTGTGTTTTGCAGGGAAGACAAAAACTGGAAATATGAAAAAAAAATCCGTAGGACAAGATCTACAAAGAAGTCAAAAGGACGAAACGCCAGTTTACCCCTTTATAGCCTTTGTCCTTGAACTGTGATTTTACCTTTTTTGTAGATTTTTTAATTGCTGAAACTAAAGTAGATAGAGAGAAATTGTGTGTAAAAAAAAATTGTCAGCAAACTAAGACCTTCTGGAGCCTCTATTTTTCTGTTAAAACAATTTCTTCTGCCATCTCTATGTTTGTGTATTGTAAGGTAACTTCTAAAACATCGTCATTATGAGACGTCCTCAACTTACTTCTGCCATCTCTATGCTTGTGTATTGTAAGGTAACTTCTAAAACATCGTCATTATGAGACGTCCTCAACTTACTTCTGCCATCTCTATGCTTGTGTATTGTAAGGTAACTTCTAAAACATCGTCATTATGAGACGTCCTCAACTTACTTCTGCCATCTCTATGCTTGTGTATTGTAAGGTAACTTCTAAAACATCGTCATTATGAGACGTCCTCAACTTACTTCTGCCATCTCTATGCTTGTGTATTGTAAGGTAACTTCTAAAACATCGTCATTATGAGACGTCCTCAACTTACTTCTGCCATCTCTATGCTTGTGTATTGTAAGGTAACTTCTAAAACATCGTCATTATGAGACGTCCTCAACTTACATTCTGTTATCTCTTATTATTGGACATGATTTTCAAATGGCCCTTTGGCATATTCTTTCTTTTTCTACTTACATCTTTAAACTTTGAATGATGTTTGAAAATAAGAACCATGTCAATAAATGTGATATTTGATACGATTTACCGAAAAAAAACATTTATCAATATTTCGCAAAAAAAGCTAAATTTCATTCTAACTCAACTTTTTTTGTAGTCAAACATTCATTTTTTTTTTAAATCGTATGTAAATTAAAACGTTGAAACTTTTTCTGACTCTGAAACATACACACGTATCGCATTATGCAAAGTTAAAATAACATATCATTTGGATTTATTGGTTGGGATTTCACACCACTTTCAGTACTTTCGGCTATTTCGTGGCTGTCAGTTATTATTGGTGGAGGAAGCCAGAGTGCCCGCAGAGAATCACGGTGATAATCGGCCGACTTTCGGCAAGAAAACTGATAATCCTTGTCAATTAAGATTAGAGTCGAGCGCAATTACCACGTGCGGGTTCGAACTAACAACCGCAGTGTTGACAGGCTAGCGATACAGTAATTGAATTAATTGGACCACTTGGCCACCGAGGCCCCTTATCATTTGTAAGAAAGCGAAAAAACTGTGAGAACTATCAATTTCATATATTTGGCAATAAGTTAAATTTTCTTTTTACTAAATACTTTATTGGTTTACAGATATATATTATCATGACATATATCTTATACAAGGTTCTAATTTTATGAATTTTAAATATTCCAGATTGTTGATTTTTTCGGTAAATGAATGCAGTTGAAGATGAACAGTACAAGTGAAATGATAAATTTGTATAGAAAGGATTTAAATTTCACGAACATATCTGATGAATACCGAACACAAGATATGCCGAAACACTTGATGGCCAACGTTGGGGTTCTTTCTTTATATCTTATTATTGGTGTGATAGGAAATAGCATTGTTCTAGCTGTATACAGATTTCAAATGAAGGGTAAAGAAGAGAGATATTTCATTCCATTTTTGGCAGTGTCGGATATGCTGACATCGGTTGTGGGTTCCGTAAATTGTATAATGTTAGATGTGATGCAAACGACTTTCACCAACAATATTCTATGTAAAATAGTATTTTACACCATTGCTTTAACAGCAGGAATTTCTTTATTTCTTTTACTTTCTATTGCGGTACAACGGTATTTAATAATATGTAGACGTCATAGGCTTAATTTGAACACTCGAAAAATAATGGTTGCCGTATCTGTATGTTTGTCAGTTGCTTGCTCCGTACCGTTTGCAGTGAACTATGGCGTAAATGAACACTTTAGTGAGAGTCGATTGGTTGGATACCGGTGTGGAAGACTTAAACATGGTGTCTACCTCTCTGGATTAGTGTATGCAATATTTTTTATAACTCTAATGTTGTTTACTGTTCTTGCACTTGTTTTTCTGTATGGAAGAGTCGGATGGGTTATTTTTAAACATTTCAATGCGCAGAAATTTAAGCAAACAAATTTATCGAAAGAGACCAGTACAGCAGAAAAATTACCAAACGATTCGATTACCAATAATCTTCAAAGTAAAACACAAGAACTGAAAAATACTGACGGTTCCTACTCCAAATCAGCAGTCAATACGGAATGGAAGAATGATTCAAGCATTGAGCCAACTCAGTCATCTGACGTCTACACAGAAACCACAGCACCCGAATGTTCATCTTCCGCCACTAAAAACGGAAATTCTACTCTGCCCAAACGCTTGAAAAAAACAAACCGGTCAAAGAAAAGAAGACGTTTCAAAAACAAGTTTACTTTAATGTTTATTCTAATAACTGCTGTGTCAATCGTGTGCTATATGCCGGTCGGAATGGTTGTTTTGTTAGAAGGCATATTTCCAGATTTTTGGGAAAGGCTGTCTGAAACAGTAGCTGCCACTGTTTTATGGCTGTATCATACATACATTATTAACAGTATTGTAAACCCCATAATATATGCGTTTATGGATGCAGAATTTTCTACAGCCCTTAAAGCGCTTTTTGAAAAATGTAAATGTTCTAAAAATTATTCCAAATAAAGTCTCGATAACATTACCAATACTAACTGTTTTTCTTTTGAAACGTATAAACTTAATACTAAATCTTGGTTTGTTCATGCGTTGTGATTAGCTTTTTAAAATGTTGGCAAATAATTGCTAAATGTCTGTTGGAATAACTTTTCATTGTTTGTATTTGTATTTATATTGTTTTTATATAGATTAGACCGGCGGTTTTCCTGTTTGAATTGTTTTACACTAGTCATTTTGAGGTTTTTATAGCTTGCTGTTCGGTGTGAGCCAAGGCTCCGTGTTAAGGCCGTACTTTGACCTATAATTGTTAACTTTATATACAATGTGACTTGGATGGAGGGTTGTCTCATGTGAACTCATACCACATCTTCTTATCTATATTGACAATCAATGTATTATAGCGATTGAGGTTATCACTTTGAAAAAAACACCTTATAGTTTAATGTTGTTTTGAAACATCACATAAAGGTTGTATAACGATTAAGGAGGTACTTCAGACTCTTTAGAATCTATGCATGCTTATACTGTTTTAACGTTCTAGTTGTATAATTTGTATTTGATATTTTTTCGTCCGACTCCTATTTATGACATCCTGACTTCTATTCATTTTGTGGTTGTTATCTTCGAGTGTTTTCGGTAATTTTTTTCCTTCTCATGAACGTTTTCGATATTTTGTTTCAAGATATTATTTTCTTCTACCAACTCATTACCACAGTAGATATTGTGTGCGGTTGAGATCTGACTTTTTCGAGTGAATGGGGCCGTTTTTTTTTGAGAGTGCAGACCATTTTTATTTAATAAAATAGCATGCGATAAAATCGATTTACTTTTATGTCCAACTTATTGTTTTACCTAAAAACAAGTTCTGATCACGAACGACGAGCGATTGTGTTCTATTTCACTTAAAATTCAACTTTTACACCAAGGTTTTTGTTTTTAGTAAATAGTTATTTTGTTTTTTTTCAAAACTTGTCCGGGTTTGATAATGAAAATATGAACAAGAAAGCATCAATATGACCCTAAGTAACTGATTTATTTTATTTTCATAATTACGTGAAGGACTTTAATAAAAAAAGTATTTAATTATAAATTTACCAAATAAAATTCTTCAGACGTTCACAAGACATCAATATTTTTCAAAATTTTGAATTTTGTCATATGTATTGGCTTTCGGGCGTCAAACTTCTTAAATTCATTGAAAAACACCAAACACTGCCACAATAACATTATCATGAGATCATCTTTTCGATAATAACTAGATATGATCAAGCGGTTTAAAACGCTGTAATATGTGTAAAATATCTCTGAAGATCTTTCTCATATATATTTTGACCAAAACTATGCGTTGAATGGCAATTTTAGATCAAATACGTAAAAAAGAAGCGAAAGATACCAAAGTTATATTCAACTCATAAGTCGAAAACGAACTAACAATGCCATTGCAAAAATCGAAAAACTACCAAGAGACAAACAATAGAATACAAAACAGATAAATTTCTACGTCCTTAAGTTTCCAGATTTATGCAACTGGTTCATTTATCGGAGTTAGTTAACATATTTTGCGATTTCAGCGACCAAACATTATTAGTTACACAGTGTGCTAGTGACCTAATATGATATATACGGAGTCAGTTAATTTCATATGGAGAGCATCGCCGCGATGTAGCCTTTTTGTGCTGATACGGCGTAAAGCAATCACCAATTAATCAATCAGTCATATGGAGAGCGACGCTCTCACCTCACCCCATATGAAATTAACTGACCTCGTATATATCGTATTAGGTCACAAGCACACTGTGTAACGAATTTATCTTACCGACTATCTTAACATGTGGAATTCAAACTAGTGGCCTATTAAAGTGATCAAGTCTTCAATATAAAGAACATACTTTTATTGGTCTATACAAAAAACTAATACCAATAATAGCCATCGTTAGCCTTTAATATGTTTTCAGCATTTATCAATTCAATCGTTTATCATCAGTATCTTTATCTGTTGTCTGGGCGAAACATTTCAGGTATAAAACCACTGATTCATAGCCCCATTGCTTTTTATGTTAAATTCTGCAATTTCAAGCATTAATGGCTACTTTGTCTCAAGTTCAAATAAAGTGGCAGTCATTTCATGTCAAACTATACCTTATTCTGACTTGTGCTGAGCAATTCAACATACCTTTAATTGCATATTAGAGCGTACTGATTCCCGGAAGTTTGATAGTAAAAAATGGGTACTTCTGATCTAAACAACAGGGCAAATATGCCTACCTGTTATGATTTTATATACTTTTTTATTATTCACAAGAAACTTTCAACAGGGTTCTACAGTGATTCAAAGTCCCCAAGCTTTCATTTGATTCCAAAACTACCCGAATATTTCACCTATTGACAAAGAAACAGCTATGCATAGAAACTATTTTGTTTAAAATTTGTACTACTTTCTTGTATGTTCTTTCCGACTGGGCCCAAATTAGTGGTTCTATACCCTCAGGTTTTTCGTCAACGTCAGATTGTGTTCATAAAGGGACGTAACACTGTTATACTGTGTATTAAAAAAAACCACGCCCACTAACCCAATATTGAATATACAGGGACTCCACGTTTTCGCTTGAAACCAATGATATTCCTAGAAATGTATAGCAGATAAGATAATGTCTCTTATCATACCTCATCATTCGACTCTTTTAAATTTAGGGTTAATTTTCCTAATAAATCATAGCAGTGTTATGGTACAATAGAAATCAGTTGATTTTTTGTATAAAAACGCATTAAAAGGGTTACAATTTGAATTTGGTACGCCAGTCGAGCGTTCACCTACATTAGACTCAAAATGATTATTACAACTTTTGACAGGCGACTCATAAATTAGTTTAAAAGTTTTCATGTTTGCATTGATTTTTAAGTCTTAGATATATTATGTGTGTTAACATATGCACGATCTTTCGAGGAACACTACCATGAGCTATGGTGTAAAGAAGATCATATAACACACTGTACCTACAAAGATTATTTTAATCATTTGCCAACCCAGTTCTTTTCTGTAACCAGTATATTTCTATCCATTTTTTAAAATTTTTACAGCTATTCTACATATTTTAGCACCCCATTTTTTTCTATTCTAAATTTTTTGCTCATTGTTCTCTATTCTGTAAACCCCACCCACACCCTCATACAATACCATAAAACATCAGAAAACTTATCCACTTGAATCGCTAATTCTCAAACTCTAATGATGGGCAACACTCGCTCTTGCGTATATTAATTAGTTTATTAAAGTTGTTAAAAGGGATGTTCGTTGGACAAAGCGGTATAACTTATACTTATTTTTATATGTTTTATTAACTTTTATCTCGCTCCTTGTTGCTGGTATGTAAAGGAAACAATGATACAAAATATAAAAATTCGATACTTTTATAGTATTACAAAACTCCGTTATGGAAGAAAACAATACGGGTTGAATTGTCATTTGAAATCTTTATTTTGTTTTCCTTTCTCTTTAAAGGAACACAATGACTAATTTAAGTAGTGTAACAGGTTTAATCCAAATAAAGATAGCAAATCTAAGAAAATGAATGAAAAGATAACCAACTCAGAACTTGACTTCGACGAGACTAAAATACCTTAAGCCGACAATATATGCTGCATCCTTCAGTACATCTGAAACACTCTTATGGAACATTTTCTCTTCCACCAAAAATGTTAATGCCGAAGAAAGTGTATACAAATCCATATGATAAAATCATCACGATTAAACAGATCACATCAATTTTTGCGGCTTTTTGTTTTCTTTTTGTTTCTATTTTTTCTTTTCCTTGGGTTTGATCACTTTTTTCTCCTTTTTCTTTGATCTGATCCTTATCTTCTCTGTTTTGACTATTATCTTCTCCTTTTTCTATTATTATATTGTCGGTATCATCTAAAACATATCGTTATTACAAACATTTGACTATCACTTAATATAGTTGACAAATGGTTGTATCAAATATATCTGAACTTTCTTTACTTTTCCAAACAATTTGCCTCCTACATACCAAACATGTTAACCCCACCACATTATATATGAGCCTGTTCCTTGTTAAGATAAGTGTACTTATATTGTTTACATATGTATCCTCAATGTTTGACCTCATTATGTACTGAATTTAACAATTAAGCTATGCATCAATAGCATTAGTGAACAAGAATGTGTCCATAGTACACGGATGCCCCATTCGCACCATCATTTTCTATGTTCGGTGGACCGTGAAATTGGGATCAAAACTCTAATTTGGCATTAAAATTAGAAAGATCATATCATAGGGAACATGTGTACTAAGTTTCAAGATGATTGGACTTCAACATCATCAAAAACTACCTTGACCAAAAACTTTAACCTGAAGCGGACAGACAAACGAACGAACGGACGGACGAACGAACGAACAGACGAACGTACGAACAGACGCACAGACCAAAAAAACATAATGCTCCTAGGTGGGGCATAAAAATAAGATTTATTTGGGTTTAAAATAGACATGGCATTTATTGCAACAAAGAAATACAACCAACAAGTTAATCAAATCTTGACGACGATAAAGTTACTGAAGGGCCATCTAGCAATTACAATGTAAGATCAGGAGCTACTGGGTAATCCATAGCAGCATGAAATAAATTTTGCCATAATTTCCAGTTGAGTAACTAGTTGCACAACTGAAAATCCGCCTTGAAATTTACCGCATGACAAATTTTAACAGCAGGAATCAACAAATTTCAAATCACATAAAAATCAACATAAATTCAATACAATTAACATCATTCAAATTCATATTAATAAACTAAAACATTTGGACACATTTGAACCTAGTAAATTCATTGTAAGGAAAAACCAAACAACGAGGAAATTTAAAACCATTTCCAGAGCACATTGAATCTGATTTGGGAATATTTCATTGCCGATGGAGAAAAGATGATTCCATTGTCACTAAAAAGACCAACCTGAATATCCTCCTATTTAAAGCAAATATGGACGCACACTCCTACTAATCTGCGTCGAGTAGT